GCGCTGCATCTATTCTCACTACCTTCCATATATTCATTCTTGGCAACAAAAAAAAACATCTGGTTTCTGTCGGTGCGTTTCCCAGTGGTCCATTTTGAAGGAGATACTGTTTGATACTGGTGCAGCTGAGGTCACAGTGATGACATGTGTACTGTGTGGTGCTTTTCTTGCCTAGAAAGTAAGATGCGCCAGGCTTGCAGGAGTACATTATCTGCCCCGGGCGGCCCAGGGATATTGCAAGCTTTATTTTTAGCTCTGTTTTGGAGCTCAGCCATGTGTATGAATCAACATTAGGTCAGTCGGGTTCCAGTAATGACAACGTTGACTAAGGCTGACCAGTCATCCGATTGGTGCATGGGCCTCTTCTTTATAAACTGCTAAGGATGGCAGAAACATTTAAAGAGCCCATGGAGAGAGAGGAACAAAGGCAGAGCAAGGGAAACATAGACCCGAGCATGGAAAGTGAATGAAGGATGGAGTTAGGTAGAGGAAGATGAGGGAAGAAAAGAGGCATCTCAGCATTTCTGCTTGTGCCAAATCGTTACTGTAAAGTATGTGTGCACCCTGTCCGTACGGACGGACGGACAGAAGAATGAGTCGGCTCATTGAAATTCTGTCCACTGCGCTTCACAGGCCCTTAATAGGCAGCCTCGGGGGTGGAGAGGTAGGCCTACTGTAGAGTAGTGCAGATTGGGCTGTGGATGACTCACGCTGCTATCCTCCAGTGAATATCTCAGCATCATGACTTTGCTCTGCACACTCACGGAGTTTGGATTCAAGGGCTTAGGCGCTTTTTGGAGGAAGGGATAGCATGCCACAGAGTGCTTAATCTGAAACCCTGTGATGGTGACCAACAATTCATAGTGCACTTACTGAGAATCTATCTATGCTTTTAAAGTCTACACACGCATCCACCATGAAGAACAAGGTATTCAACTCGACAGTGATGGATCACCATAACAGCCAGTCCCCTCCTAATGAAAATGTATGTGTGTGCTCACAACTAGAGCATTTAGTTTGATGCAAGCTATAACACTTTTACAATTTCCCTTCGCAACAAAAATAGTTTGCCATGTAGGCTTTGAAGATAACATTTTCCAACAACCCGCTGTGCAACATAACGGCTCAGAGCATATTAATAGAGTGTAAAGCCTTGTACCCTGAAATGCTTTTTCAGCTGTTTATGCATGGTCGTGACAGAAATTGTGATGAGATGCATCCATTCCAGTCATAATCTTGACAATATATTACACAGCATTTCACAGTATGTATTTCTTTTTTTCGTGAGTATCCTGGCTTATTCATCTTTGACTAACAAAGATAACATCAAATGAGATGGACATAATGTTCCTTCCATAAGTATCACTTTCCAGGAAAAAATTACACCCTTATGTTGAAATATCCATATATTTATTTACATAGGACAGGTGAAACTGACATTTATACAATATTTTGGGTTCTTAAAGTTGTTGGGACTAGTGCTACAACAATTCATAATTTAATCAATTGGAAGAACATTTATAATTTTAGCACTTTTCAGAAAAATGCCAAAACATTGGATGGAATCAGATTTTTAAATGAGAGAAATAGCTGCCGTTCGGGGTCCTAGGTGAAAGTATGTGGAGTATTTAGGGGTTTTAGACCTTTTGTTTGACCAAGACATAACATGTAATGACATCACCGTATGTCTTCAGATGTTGCTATGTACATGTTTCTCTGTTTTTGGATTTGTAATATACCAAAAGTTTAGAAGCTTAATCCATAATGTAAGCAATTTGTAATTGCGGCCCTAAACCCCGGGATTAACCCAGGGAAGGTGTTCTAGAGAAGAACAAAAAATTAAACATACAGTATAGGCTATTATATTGTCCTAAAAGCGTCAGTCTTACCCAGTTAAATATCCTTTGACTGTCTTTTACAATTGTGCAGACCCAAAGACAGAGTAATAATAATAATACTCTCATTATGGCCCATATTCAAAGCTTTGAGTTTTTGTTCCCCTAATAGTTTATATTAAATCATATAATTTTTTACAACATCCACAACAAAAAAGATGTATCTGTATACGTGCTACTTTTTGTGACTGAACAAAAGCTGGCTGGGTGTTTAAAGTGATTATCCCACATCACAAAAACATCATCCATTTGCCTTATCCATTTATCTGCCATTATCAAAACACCAAACCTCTCCCTTCCTCAGTGAGATGAAAATTAGGTGAGAATCATGAACCAGCTCTTCATGCTTCGCTCCTTTCCTTTTCTGAAATCACCCATATTAATTAGCCGTGTTTGTTTAGGAGCTCATCTATATTCAAGCAGCTCGATCCATAATTAAAAAAGGAACTCGGAAGATCACCTCAGTTGTTATTTTGCTACAATTAGACAATTTCCTGTTGTGGTTTACCGCTCTGGCTGAGGACGTCAACTGTCTGGAAGAATCTGAGAAGTGACGATGCAGTAAAATAATGGCTTATGACATGCTGTAGTGTTGCATTATGGGTCATAGGTGACTGTTTCTGGCTTATTATAAAGGGAGTGGATGAGTCAGTCACCATATCAAATAGAGGGTCAAATAAACATCAGTTCTCTATACTTGACTTAAAGTAAGTGTGATTGTGGGAATCAAGTGTGTGTTCCCACCTTTAAATACACCCAGCAGATGTTGCATGTTTAAATTTGGCTTTTCATTGGTGCATGAGGTATGAGTTCTCCTGGGGGAACATTACTTAGACTGACACGCACGCACACACACACACACACACACACACACACACACACACACACACACACACACACACACCATGTACACATCACTTCAGGGGACATTACATTGACTTACATGCATTTCCTGGAGACTTATCCTAACCTTAACCATAACCAACACATGCCTAACCCTAACCCTTAACCTTACCCTTACCCTAACCCTAACCCTAACCAAGTCTTCACCCTAAAATTAATGATTCCGCTCATGGGGACCTCCATTTTGTCCCCATAAGGGAGGCCAGTCCCCACACGTGACTGTGTAAACAGATTTAGGTCCCCACAAGTATAGTAATGCTAGACCACACACACACACACACACACACACACACACACACACACACACACACACACACACACACACACACACACACACACACACACACACACACACAAACACACACACACTGCGGTCTTTCTTAACTCTTATACCCCAGGATTAATTATTTGAATCACATTTATTGTAGTGTTTTCACTTGGTAAGATCACTTGTTTTCAGTTAAAATGATTTCATGATTCTCCCTCTGGCCCAGAACATGTATTCTTAATGTTGGTGGAGTGGTGATTTGCCTTAAATCTGGGAGATTCTTTAACCTTTTTTTGAATATTAAATAAAGTGTTACGCCAATGCGATTGATTCCCCCCCTGTTTCCAGCCATGTTCCACTGGACTGTGTCTGAAACAGTGGATGGTCTTTGAATTCAAGCATCAGACAGGATAGTGAGAGAACTGCCTCAAAAAGTTTGCTTTTGTATTCGTAGCTGAAAACTATAAAATGCTCAGTGGCCTATTCTGAAGCTGATGTCGGAGAAGCTGCTGTTGTTGTTCATGGAAAATAAATAAAGATATCTTAAGCTTAACCAGGGATGATAAATAAGGAGTCTTAAAAGGAGGGAGAGGAAATGCCATGTCTATATAAGAACAACAGATGCATTAGAAGAAGCCATTTAGACATTTTAAAAGTCACAGAGAAAGAGAATTGTGACCCAAAGAAAGGTGTTACCAGTTGAAATTGTACGACTGGTAAAAGCTTGGTTATTATTCTGTGCCCATGTCGTGTTTCCTTAAGTTGAAACATAAGTTAAAGCAGTGCAATAAGGCCAGAAAGCTCTGACAGCAGCAAAGAAAGAAAAGACAAAGTACCTCATTTACCAAAGGTCTCTAGCCACACATTTTTCACTAAAGAACTGAAACAGCTACTTTGGGGAAACAAATCCATATTAATGTGTGATTTCTGAGATTACCCACGAAAGATGGCTCTCAAATCTCATTTACATCCCCCCTCCCCACATGTTCTTGATTGATTCTCAAAGTTGGGTATACTGTTAAAGATATTTTTGTACCCCAACTGAGAAGATTATAGTTTAGTCCGTCTGTCTGCAGGATGTCTCAGGCACCTCAAAGCAGATTTCTGTTCATTTTGGTGGACAGGACAGCCCTGGGCGAAGGAACAGATGATTAGATTTAGGTTGTGAGCCGGATCTAGGACTCGTTCAATTAGACAATTATAATCTTTCAGCCGTTTTTTGACACAGTAACAGAGATGGAAACTCAATTTCACATGCAAATGAGGGGTTGGCAGGATCACTAACGGGTCCTTTCTTCAAATATATAAATGTCAAAGAGTATTGAGTTTCCAAAAGTATCTTTGCTTTGTTCCACCTAACACTTATTTCTCCTCTCATGGTATTGAGGTCATGGGAAACATGGACAAGCTAAACATATATTTCCCTTTGTAACAATGAGGATCAACAGTTTATGAACTGTAGTTTACTAGTTTGACCCTTTTTTAAAGATTAGCTTAATATTTGTTCTCATTTGTGTTTTTGGTAAACTTGTTTGCATAAAGTTGTGATCATGTGTTGGCTGGCTGTTGCCCCGTTCCCAGGATACAATTAATATAATATAAGATAATCATATCCTGAATGTGACGTGCTGCCTTACTTAGGTATTGCTGTAGTCTCTAAGGCCTCTTTTGTCTTGTCTTTGTGAATCTCAACAAGTCAAGCTCTATAAAAAAAGATGAATTGAATTACGGTTTAACACCTCATCAGGTTTGTTCTGCATAGTCTTGTTATAACTGATGACGTCTTTCACGCTGACCTATCAAAAACACTCTCACTATGAGGACAGATGTGTGTCGCAGCATCGCAGCCCTCCTACACATGATCCTAACTGAGCTTATCTGTCCTCCCTCTCTTTTTCTCCCTTCCTCCCCCCTCCTCCTTCTCTCCTTTCCAGATGCAAGGTGTGCCGTCCCCCCCTCCTATCATCATCACCATCATCGCTCCCAAGCCCACTCCTTCCACGCTCCCTCGTACGACCGTCCCGTTCACGAACGTCCCGCCTACGACCGTCCGCCCCTCAACCGTCCGCCCCTCAACCGTCCTTCCTTCAACCGTCCCTCCTTCAACCGGCCTTCCTTCGACCGTCCATCCTTCGACCCTCCCTCGTTCAAACTTACCCCGCACGAGCGTCCCGTCTACGAGCGCCCCTCACACGACCGTTCATCCCAAGACCACTGGAACCCCCATCTCAGTGTGAACCCCGGAAATCAGAGCTACATGTTGGACCAGGAGGAGGTATGCAACCCACACACCAGGAATACACTGATACTGTTTTTGCAGTCGAAAAAATAGTGCATTGGTATTAGATATTATTTATCATGTGAGAAATAAAATGACCATTTCCACTGAAGGTGGACTCTAATGTAAACATTTATTTTATTTCACTTATTTTGACGTCTAACATATTTAAGTCGTAGGATTATAAGTTTTCCCCGCAAAAAAGAAGATTGACTATTACAATTTGTATCGGTTCCCAGGTTTTAATAAAAAATGGCACAATATTTATTCCCAGTGTAACTGACACCAAGCCCTGGCCTAACCAGGTTTGTATTTGTTAGATTAGTTGCACATTTGTAAGCACCGTGTAATTGTCTTGATATCATGGAAGTTAATTTAAGTGGACACGTTATAGATTAAGACCAATATCAGCCTAAAGCGATCGCCCCTGAATCATTTAGGCTGAATGTCTGCTGGATTGGTTGACATTTAATGTGAAGTTCAAGATTAGTCAAAACATCCGATCTACGGTCAGCCTCATTGACCATCTGATGGATTTCTGGCATGTCAACTTTGCAGTGTGAGCATAAGATTGACTTTTCTAAAACAGAAAAACACTGAATATATATGCAATATCAATTTGAAAAATCATTAATATTCAGAGTACTACTCTTTAAAGGAAAAGGTTGGTAATATCCTTTAGTTTCCCCATTGTCAAAAAGTCCCATTAACAGCTATGGTTCTAGCCTGATATAACTTATTTTGAGATATGAAAATTGTTTGCACACAAACTATTGAAAACCACATCAACGAGCCACACTTTTGCATTGGATGACATCTGCAGGTTACTGCATAACCAACATGTCCACTTTACCATAAATACTCACTAAAGAACCCTCTGTATATTGATCGACCCGACCAATGTCCTCTACACTCCTCTTTGAATAATGTTAACTAAAAAGTACCCAGTTGTTGTTTTTTTACCTTTTTAACTTCACCATGTAGTTGTGACCCATTTATTGAGATGAATGTCTTCTTTAAAAACCCATCGGCTTGGTGCTGAGTTCCATTGAAAGGGTTAGAAAGAGAAAGTTTCCCTTTCCAGTGCCCTGACTTGGCATTAAAGGTAGAAAGCATCTCCAACCAGTGTAGGCCTACATGTGTTGCTTTAAAATGCACCATGCAGATGGACATGTCAATAAGTTATTAAATCAAAAAAGATTTTTAATAGCAGATTGAAAGCGCTTTAGAGTGTACTTAATCCCTAATAGCTTTATATAAATATTTCTTAATGCATATTTATTCTACTTATTAGACAGAACACAAAAGGGCCAGTTTAAGTAAACACATGTGGATAAAAATGCTTTAATAAAAGCAGTGTTCTTCAGCCTGCATTTATCTGGGCAATGATTTAGCAGTTGTTCCGTTCTTCAGCTGTTTTAACACATTCACAGCTGAAAGCTTCACGGTGAAAACGGCAACCTTCTGCTGTTAAGCTCATAGAATATTCATGAAAAAAAGACCTTTCTGAATATTTGTTCTCCTGTAACTAACCTTGTTCGTGTTGATTCACTTCCCACGTTTGTGTATGGATGTCTTAAAAACACAGATGCATCTCTAAACCTGCTGCTGATTGTGAGTAAGATCTCATCCTGTTCCCTAGGCCAGGAGAGGGTACTGTTCTTCTACTTTCATACTTTCTGCTTTGCAAAAAACATTTCCACACACCTTATTACACAGTTTAAGGCAAGATTGGAGATCATAACACCATTTAAAAAATCCATAGGTCTTACATATAATGTTGGTCTTAAATTCGCTTTAAAGCCTTTAACTCTGAAGCAACAGGTTAGCTTCATGTCTGGGTATCAGCACAGCAAATCTGGGGTTTATTATTATATTTTCACAATAGTTATCTCCCTCAATGTTGGATGTATTTTTGTATGTCTTACACAGTATGCATTTGAGCCCAGTGTTTGATTCTAGCCCTGTGCGGACTCAAATTCCTACAGTGTGTTCAGCTATGTTGGCGACTCAATAAAACAATTAATCATCATATGGCCGGTCAAAGCACACGGGTGGCGACTTTACTGTAGAGTGTGTGCACGGCTGCCAATAGCGCTTCAGCTTCTCATCACTCAGAGGAATAGAGCACGCTGTGATCCCGATGAGAGACCTGTAGGCTCTGGAGGGATTCAATGGAGAGCCAGTTCAATTAATCTGAGCCCTATCCCTGTCTAATTGTGCCAATAAGGCAGCAGCTGTGAATGGATCTGCAGCAGGACTGACGTGCTGATAGCCGTCACCTCGGCGACGGCAAGAGGCTTTAGATATTCATGCCCGTCACTCACCTCATGCAGAGCTGGTGTCACACACACACACACACAACACACACACACACACACACACACACACACACACACACACACACACACACACACACACACACACACACACACACACACACACCACACACACACTTGCCCTTCAATTTACTTCCATTTGTTTTAGATGGCTTCAGTGGCTCTGCAAAAAAAAGCAATCATACTGTACATTTCCATAGCGGAGAATCAGGACGTTGTTCTTGTTTTCCCACCGATGCTGCTGCTTCCTGCACATTTTGGTACGAGCCTTTGATATCACCTCTATGATTTTCTGTTTGTTTATGTGCTTGGCATCTGAGGTCAGCACCTATCCTATCCCCTCTCCCTCTCTCTCCCTCTCTCTTTCTCTATTTCTCTCTCTCTTGTCTTTTCCTCCCCTATGTCCCCTATGCTCAATTCTGTTTTTGATGCCCTACATTGATCCATCACTCTTACCTTTCCTCCTCTTCTTTCTCCCTCTGTTGCCTTCTATCTCCCACCTCTTTTTATAAAATCCGTCTGTTCTTCAATCTCTCCTCTCTTCCCTCTCACTCCCTCCTTCCTTCTGTCTCCATAGTCATTGCAACCACATGCCTTTCAACCCTCTCCATCTTTCTTACCCTCCCCTCTATCTCTCCTTCACAGTTTCCCCCTTTTTGTTTGCCCTTGCTCCTCACCTCATCCACCCTCTCCCGCCTTCCTCCCACCCTCTTTCTGGGGTGACTGGCAGGAGTCTTTGGCTCTCCCACATGCCACCTGTCTCTGTGCTCCTCACAGCTCCATTCACTTGCTTTATCTTCCTATTTATTTATGAATGATGGCCATCATAGAGCCGCCGTAGAAGCGTCCTCCTGGTGAGCTGAGATGTCGCTTTGGGGAACAAGCTTTCTTTGTTGTTTTCTGAAATGTGTCACTTGTATATTTCTATTAATCCTGTGTGTAGCTCCTGGTGTGATGGGTTTGCTGAACTGTTTCTTAGTGATGGAGTGGAGGCACTTCATAGGGATAGAAAGGGATAACACCCTCCCTGACATGGCTCATTATAATTGCCAAGCATAATGGACACGCTGACAAGATTTGTTGTCTGAGTGGCACGTTTTGACACTGTGCGTCCAGGGCAAAATACCCTTGAAAGTTCAAGAAACGCCTGTGAAATTAAAATGATGTGGCAAAACATGGGGCCTATAATTACAGTGCCCTCTTTTTTGTCATTCTGTACTCAGAAGTAAACGTGACTTCTTATGCCATCTCTCTTGTGCCTCTGCACTCTTTGTGATTGGCAGTATATTCTTCCCAGTGCAGTCCAAGCAAGAAAAATGAAAATCTTTCACTCAGAAAACAAGCGAGCGTGTAGCCTGAAGCAGACGAACATGTCACTTTGTGTTACTCTGTTGTGTGATCATATATTAGGATTAGCAGGAAATATTTTTACGGTAAAAATGGATGCAATGCAACACTTCTAAAATTAGCATAGAGTTGAATCAAGACTTCTGGGATGCAGTCAGAACAGAAATGTTAAATCGTATGGTTCAGAAAGTTACTCATTTATATGAATATGAATCATGAATGGGATTACATGGAATCTGGGAGTTGTGTTTTTTTTCTTTTTAGGCCACCCTTAAAACTACAAATGCTACACCCTGTCCATGTGTCATTGGATATTTTCATTAACTATTAAATTCTCTTTGGCGAAATATGTTTTTGCACTATACATTGTGACACCATCAGCAAAAGGAAAGAGAAGTTGAACTGAACAACTTTAGGAAATGATTAATCACTGAAATAAAAATAAGAAGCCAAACATTCATTGCTTCAGTTTCTCACTTGGGAGCTTCTCTTGCATTTCTATATGTTCTTTGACAGTCAAATAAATACATTTGGGCTGTTTGTTGGACAAAACTAGTAATTTTCACTATGTTTTTCCCGACATTTTCTAGAACAAATAATAATTTCAAATGCACAGAATGAGCTGCTAATGGGCCACCAGTTAGCTCAGTGGTTTGAGCTGGCGGCCCATATGCCTAAACCCCTGCCCAGTAAGCCGGTTGAAATGCCTTGCACCCCGCTCAAATCTGAGAATCTCCAATAAGTGCCCCTTCTGGCCCAAAAATATACCTGAAGAAAAATCTGCTAATTATTCAATAAAAAAAAAAAAAAAGTGTGCATAGTGAGCAGCAGTGCACTAATGACATTAGTAACTTTAAAGTTATGCATAGATTGACTGATCATTGATAACAGTTTGACTTTGGCCCTCTAATGTAATAACTGGTTAATATTTCATTTATTTGAACACATTTAAAGACATTTGCAGTAGTTAAAGAATGTGGAATGTTTTAATGAAGCAGGCTGGTTGTGGACTTCCTCTCTTATATGACCACTCGGGGAAAAATCTGGGTAGTAAAAATCAACGCAGCCAATTATGAGACTGAGTAATACATTTTTTGCATTTCTTTGACTCTTTTAAAGAATGCTTGAGGAATGACTGCAATTTCCTCATTACTGAATCTCTCTGCAGGCTGCTCTGCCTCTTTCTGCCCTGTAGGGGGAGCGAGAGGGCTGGCAGTGATTGCTGCCTGCCATCCTCTCCTCCTCCTCCTCCTCCTCCTCCTCCTCCTCTCGTCTCACATTAATATGAGGTGACAGAGTTTCATATACCAC